GTCAAAAACGCTATTATTTTTATTTACCAATATCCTCAAACTCAAATGAACGTGTCCATATAGCAACTTCTGGACATACAATGTACATGTTGTTAAGAGCTGCCTCTCGGTTGTTGCAAGCAAGTTGAATGCATTCTCTGCATCCACTAAGATGATGGCTTCAGTTTCAGGGTCTTCAAAGCAGTCCCTTGCAGCGTGGACTGCTGCTTCCTCTCCTCTCTGAAGACCAGCACAAACTTGAATAGAAGCAGTGGCTTCAACCAGATCTTTTTGTAGGAGGGTCATCACTGTCTTCCCTATTATCCTTTGTAAGACTTCTCCTATGCCAACAGGCCTGACTCCAGGCTTTTTAACCAAGGGAACAAGTCGACATGCTGTTAATGATGTCAACAGCGTTGGATCCAGATTCCTGACACATAGAAGGCCCTGCAGCACCCTGTACTCTCTTTGCTGATTGCCTTATCAATTCACTATCATTACTGTCAAAAATAACCGGCTCTACCCTCCTCATTGGTCCACTAAGACAGCTTCCCTTTGATGCAGGTGATGCTTTGGGATGCTTCTCTTTCAGCACTTGAATCACATCTGGAGTGGGCTCAAGAACCCCAGTGGCATTTTCACCAATCCAATGCATTGCTGCACTGACTTTACCTTTCATCATGAGTCGAGTGAAAACTCTCTCAACATGGCCATGTTCATGTTTCCCCTTTACCATTCTCATCTGAATCTCCTGTCCTTCTCGCAGCAGCTCTTCAAGCTTACCTGCCTGCCACAAAACAAGTATTCTCTTCAACACTTCAGTGTGTTCCTTTGCTTTTGACCTCTTTGAGGGTTTCTGCAAACTCAAACCTTAAACCGGCCAAGCACAACGATATGTTATTGCCACGATTGGGTGGATTGATTCCCAGAATATTTATCAGCACGCGGCACTAATAATATGAAGTTCATTATCGAATTTTAGATATGCCATGGATCGTTTAACACATATATAAAAAGGTTATTAGAGAATAATTAATGTTTGGTTGTTGGTATAAATCGATATTAATCAATTATTTAAAATAGTATTTGTGTTTAATGAGGTCTGATCGTCATCTTCGTACAGCGTTCGATGTCTGTGTGAAGGTAAAATGGTGATATCCTCTGGATCAGGCAGAGGTCGAGTGTTATCGGGATTATTTCTGTAGTAGTGGAACATCAGTAATAGTCCCATTACCTTAGTATTGATGTTCCACTACTACAGTATTTGTGTTTGTTATTATTAACTATTGAGTTACGTTCGATTTAAATATTAACTACAATACAAATTTCACAAAACAAAACGACGGGGACACAGAAAGGAGAAGGACAACACATCACACGGACGGAAACTGCTGCTGAGTTGACGAGTATCTGATTATATTAATTACAGATTGGACAAGTTTCAGAAAGTATCCTCAAATCCTTAATTACTTGAGAGCAAAGAAACAGTTTTATTTGTTTCTTCTGGGTCTGTATTTTGATTTGGCTTAGCAAGACCCCTAGATTTGGTTTCTTATATTTGTGATTTGCTTTATTTAATTATTATAGATTTGCTCTACCCGGTGCCTTCACATCTGCAGTATAGTAACGTAGCTGTTCTGTAGCATAGAACAAAGAGGGAGTATCCTGGACCCCGAAATCCACCACTTTTCTGTACTTTCAGAGGTACCAATATGGCAGGAAACCAGGGCTCATGCTGCCGCTGAGCTAAAGCAGTAGAGGGGATGGCGGCTTCTCTAGGATCTAACACGTCCTGAAGCAGACCAACACTATGTCCCAACGCACTGGTGTTGGGATGTCTGCCCCCGGTGCCTGTCCGGGTCAATAAAGCAGTCAAGCATCATGCATGTTATGTTGAGCATTCTCAACCAACAAATGTGGGAACTCCCACGAAAGACCAAAACAGATCTAAAGAGACAGTTAACAACATTGGAAAATAGACTTCAATTTGTTTATATAATTTATAAAGTGTATATTATTGCCCACGTTAAGGGGTCTGTTAATAATTTATTAAATTATTAGCTATTTTAGATTTAATAATAATAATGTTCTGTAGCAAAGGACTTGTACATGGTGAAACAAGCACGTCACTTGACGGATGTTACTCGTCTAAATTTCTTCGAAGTAGCGCGCGCCGCTTTCTTCTCGATGGCAAGAGCTACGAAGTAGCGCGCGCCGGGCCAGATCATTAACAATGGTCAAGCACGTCACATGGTTAGATTATAAATTACAGTTATAAATTACATCAATGACAGTGAGCCGATCGTACGGATTGTAGGATAGTTTTAAGCACTCATTTCGGGCAGCAAAAGATTCTTGAATGGTAAAACAAAATTTTTGAAACAAATGCATATTGAGTAACCTTCCCTCTATCCAATTTTAACAAAAATTGGTACTAGCTAATAGTACCAATTACTGATAAACTTTGTATCAAGTCGTGACCCTCATTGTTGTTTCACTAAGTGGAAACTCGTTTCACTAGTATCGTGGCTACGATACAGTCGTGCACTCGTGCGCGGCAGGTCTACAATTGCTCTAACCAGAGCCCTCTCGCTTGCAGTAGCGCGCGACCGCCGAAACAAGCGCGTCACGCAGTACGCGTAGACACATGGCTATGTGAAGGTCTACAACGTATGACAAGATAGACTTACAGTGAAACTTTCAATAAATGTTGAGGCATATCCAATCATCAAATATTATGTTACAACCCAAAGTTGTAGCGCGATGCACTACTGGGTCGCGCCGCGCATCAAATAATTCTTCTCGCAACCACACGTATGCAGATCCAAGATCGGCGAGATGCGAAGGATTGACATCGTGAATCAAAACTCAAAGCAACGTCTTTTGCCCCATTTTCATAACTAAATCAACTTCAATATTTATATTGTCCATGAAGTTTTTGGATTACTGGGCCGCGCTCAGCCTGTCATTCCGCCAAATCTTTATTTTTAATATTGAACATAATAGCCTGGGGTCCTCAGGTAAGTTTTTGGACAGTTTTTTTAAACCAAAAATCAAAGCTAAGCTATAACGAAATAATACTAAATTACGCGAAATAATGATAAATTACGCGTTTTTACATTTACTGATTACTGAAGCTCCAAAATGGAAAACATAAAAGCCGCGCATCATTAAATATGGCACTTAGGCGAAACTCACTGATCATTTCAAAAAAGATGATGATTAATCACTTAACAGTACCACTTTGTAGCGCGGCGCAATGTTGCTCTATAACCAGAGCCCTTTCGCTTGCAGTAGCGCGCGACCACCGAAGGCGGCACAGGATTCTACTTATAGGTTTATAACCTACCAGGACGCGCGCCGAGTTGGACTCGTCGACGGTCCTGATATATGTGATATGGAACAAATATTTTACGAGTATCACCCGTTAAGATCCGACTTCTGAAAAAAGCGCGTCACGTAGTACGCGTGCACATGGCTATGTGAAATAGGGGCAGTTTGCGCGGCTCCCCCTGTATCGTCAGAACGATAAAGTGACCAAAGTTAAACGACCGTGGGGGTCGCAACGTGATACAAAAATTACCGAGGCTGATGTTTTATAAAATTAAAAGTTATAGGCATTTTAAGCCATGCCCTTACCTATAATTATATAGGGACCCAGGCTTAGAGTTGTTGTTATTAGGGGGTGCGAGATAAATGTAAACTTGCTCGGATTTAAAAAAATTTTTTACCAATGTTTTCTAGAGACTGTGAGAATTTTCACAATACCAAATTTGTTATACCTTTTTGGAAAGATCAGTGAGTTTCGCCTAGGTGCCATATTTGATGGTGCGCGGCTTTTGGAGCGAAAGTATCTGTAAAAGTCGCGTAATTTGACCAAATACGTTGATTTTTGTCGTATTATTCGGATATATCTTCGGTTCACTTGAATGAGTGATGAGATCATTCTGAAAATCGGCGACGACCTTCCAATAGGGCTTTCACAACTGTCCGAAAAATTTGGTGGATATCGGAGTTGATATAGTGATCAAAATGGGGCAAAATACGCTGATTTTAGCTGTAACATAATGTTTGATAGTTGGATATGCTTTAAATTTTTCGGACACTGTCCTCGTAAGTCTATGAGTAAGCTTACCAGTTTTTGTTGCAATTGGAGGTCGGGAAGGATACTCAATATCTATTTGTTTGAAAAAAATTGTGCTGGCCGAAATTAGCGCTATAGAACCATCCTACAGTCGGCACGCGCGGCTCACTGTCGATGGCGCACTACCTATTGTTATTTATAAACACTAGCAGAATGACAAGCTGAGTGTTACTGGGCCGCGCTCAGCCTGTCATTCCGCCAAATCTTTATTCTTGCCAAATCTTTATCTTGTTAATGAACATAATAGCCTGGGGTCCTCAGGTAAGCTGAGTGCCGCCGGCAGTAAGCTATGCCAAGGACTGTCAATTTTTCGTCATTATACACATAACATGTGCAACGCGCAGGAGGCCCATGCACACAACCCAATCGTGTTTCACGATGAGTTTGTTTTTATAGTCACACTTTCAGGCAACTTTTATATTACGTTTTTGTACCAAATTCACCACAATCGGCCGATCGAGTCAACAAACTTTTTGTAAATTTACTTGTTACTGGGCGGCGGTCAGCCTGTCATTCCGCCATATCTTCAATCGGTGTGTTTATGAACACTGAATTCTGAGCTCCCCTGGTAATTAACGGGTGATACTCGTAAAATATTTGTTCCAAATATTACCGTCGACGAGTCCAACTCGGCGCGCGTCCTGGTAGGTTGTAAACCTACAACCCAGGTAAGTACTACTATTAAGTAAGGTGATAATCCAAATGCGAGGCGATCTGTTCAAGCTTCTCGCAGTGAGAGAAGCGAGCAATAAACAAGCGAGCTGGGTAAGTACTACTAATGGTGCTTATCGCACCTGCTAAACACGCAATTCATGTGACATGATCTAACACGGGTATACTGTATACACTATACGGTGAACAGAATAATACACAGGAGTAACTGATAACGATAAAATTTGGTTATAAAAGAATTCCAGAAACCTACTTAAGTCTAACTGATAAGTCCAACACAAATTAGAAAATATTGGTTGACCATGACGTCACTACCCCTTACAAAAGAACCAAAACCTAAGACTGGGTTAATGCCGAGAGGAAAGTCCATATGACTATGTTACGACTCAATATCAATATCACGTGTCAAAGTCAATATGGCTCTCCTCCCAACAATTAACCAAGTCTAATGCCTATAATTACAGTTACACAGTAGCGACAATACCTAGTTATCAAACTCGTTATATCGGCCTACTTTCAGGTCAAAACTTCAAAACGAGTTTTTAAATTCTAATAATGCATTAACCAACAAAACACTCGAACTACAGGTATTTTCATGCTGCGAGTTAGATTTATATTACAATGTCCTCTACGAGACTCTAGAAAATCTATTCACTATTCAATAGCGATCATATGCCGATTAACCAGAGTTAACCTCTGTCAGCTCAAATAATCATGGCAAATATAAATTGGTACAGGATGCAATCTGCATAAAAATATAAACGGTAAGCTGCCCGAAAAGATAAATCATAAAGATGTAATCTCGTAATACACGAGCGGAATGAAGATACCCCTCGGACAACCATCTCCTAAAACAAACTATTATCAACTAAAAACGTGGTGCCCCTTCTTTCAGTGATTCTTCGTTCTTCAGATAACAAAAACTTTCACGATTTTAAAAGAAATTCCATCAAAGCTGAAAGAAATTCAATCAAAACTGCATAAATCATGATTTTAAAAGATATTCAATCAAAGCGGAGATATTTAATTTTTAAATTGACTATTTTGCAGTAAAAATCATTAACTAAGTTAATCGTGGTGACGGTTGATACAGCATGAAAATTCGGAAAACCACGTTTAGGAAACTAATGTTTAATCCTATGTGAGAAAACAACTCGACCGTTCTAACGACCGTTAAAATTATTCTAATTTATGATAAACTATCATGTTCTAATAAACATCTACCAAACAAACGTTGGAAACATCACACACCGCTTTCTTGCTTAAATAAAAGACAAGTTGATAATAATTTAATACCAAATTATAACAACACTTTAAGAGTACTCTTGTAAGTACAATATAGCTAAAATCTTTTAGTCACCGCTTTAAACACGAAAAAATGGTATACAAAATAAGTTATATCCTAATGGGTCATGCAGGCGTTCCTAGTTACATGCATCCTCTAATACAATGCTACAGTTCCTAATAATTTAAAACGTATAAGCTCCTACAGTCCTACACACATCTATATAACACATGTTTCCATGGCAACATGTTTCCAGGCACATTGCAAGAAGACATCTCATCTTCCTATTCGGAGATCGAGGCAATTTAGTGAATTCTCAGCAAATTCACTGAGAATTCACTGAGCTACGGCCAGACGATGTTAAGAGATTGAGACACAATTTAACACTTGAAGCTGACTCAGAATATTTCAGAGGGGAGAAGGAAATTTTATCCTCCTACTTTTCACCCCCCCAGTTGCTTTAAATAGGTGTCAGGGTTTGGGTTTGGTTATAGGAAAAGCCGGCTGAGGAATTCCTACAACTGACTATGTAAAATTATCCGTATAGTAGCGTTGATATAATTAAATCGGGGATATTTCCACCGATAGCAATATTATAGTGTGTTTATACACATTTCATGATGATAAATATCCCAATTATTTGGCCGATTTGTCATCTAAACTGGTTCTTAAATAAGCTGATTTCATGGGTTGGGATTAGACACTGACGTACGTTTCAGGGTAACGTTTTGGGTCTAAAATAGGGGTATGTATTAGAGGGGTGAAAAGTGGGTCACCCCCTTATTAGACGTCTCTCATTATCACTGAAACCGTTCAATCCTCCGTTTTTATGGTCTCCGTTGGACATAACTGACTGCCCAGGTCTATGGTACAAGGTCTCCATATCGTAGTGTCTATCTTCATTCACAGAGTTCAAGATGCTCTTCAAGAACTCCATCTTATTGGGCTCCGACTTCCGGTTCTGTTGAATGAGGTTGTTAGAATGAAGGACACGTGTTAGCAACGCAAGCTGTGCACGAGGATAGATTAAAGTTATGACTATAAGAGGTGACGTCCATTATCTTACAAAATTAACATTCCTTCAAAATGGAAGCCACATTTTTAAAGACAATAAAATTGAAAAATAGTTGTCACGTTTCTTCCTCACTATATTAGACTACGTCTTAAGTTTAATAAACAACTTACCAAGAACATGTAGAGAGGGATTGGGAAGACAGCGCACACCACAATAACCCAACCAATCAACTGGGCAGACAAGGGCAATTCTACTACCTTCACCAAGTCAGCCGAGTCCTGAAATTTTCACCGTCAGAATATTTTACATATTTTCCTTGGGAATGAGGAGCAGAACTTGAATAATCTGATGATTAAACATGTACAAAATCATGCAATGAATTTTTTAGCTGTAACTTTATTTTGACTAGAAGTTGTACTAACCTCGTCGCATCCAATGTAGGTAGGGTATTGAGGACTTTTCATCATGTTCTGTACGAAAGTGACGATAAAGATAACGATCAAAAGGAAGGGAGAGATATATTTCCAGCAGATGGTGAAGAACTTAGAAGGTTTATGACCTTGCATGTCCTCGATAGCAGCACTCATGTTGTCTGTTCCGAATACCCATCCAACTGCCAGACACTCACTCAGGGCTAGGATCAGAATAGGGATATTCATACCTGAAAACGGTTTGTTAAGATGTGGCCTGATCTATATACTGATTTAAAATACCTAACACCTGGTTTAATGATGCCACCTTATCAAACAAATGTTTTTTGGCACTTAAGACTTAGACATCGCTTACCAATTCAGTTATAGAGTACGAACTAGAGTACGTGAATCGAAATTATAATCAGGAAATTGCGATTTCAGACTTCAAATTTCAATCTTTCTGATATTTCTTATCATTCAGAGCATTAGCAGTTACTGTATATGATAATAATCCGGCCAGACGCGAAGGCTAGCGGCTCTAGAATCTAATAAATTCCGCCATTTCATGATCAAATCTCTAAGTCAACCTTCTTTGATCGATGTAAACAAAGAGACATGCAGTATAGACTATAGAGGGATAGAAGGTTCAGGATCGAACCTCCTTATATTGTCTTTCAAATAACACAGAATCGTAGGTAAACTAGAGGTTTGTAATAAATATACTTGATGGCATATAGCTATGCAGTCCTTTACTTACCATAGGTATCGAAGACTATGATCATGTACTCCCCTCCACCACTACAGAAACCAATACCGAGGACGAAAAGAACACCAGCGAATACAGCTGCGGGGAAATTATTGTTAAATCATCGCAAAACTATAATACTTTAATCATCTTTTAATCTAGTTTAAAAGTGAGGCTAAGATTGCCTAGCTTGCTAATCTATTGCTCGCTTTTCTGACAAGAAGTGGGAAGAGCGCCACGCAGAGGGAACGGCGTGCCAGGTAAAGTGAGGCGAGTCATATAACAAAATAGTTGTAACTAATAGAATGTGTTCCAACCTGACACGATCTCTTTTCTGACAGTAGGGAAGAGTTTCATATCCACGATAAGGGGCGTGACAGCTCCCTCCAAGGTACCAAACTCAGAGTCCAGACCCAGCAAGATCAGCATTGTGAAGAAGAGGATAGCCCAAACGTAGGGGGCATTCATCTTGCTCACAGCTTCAGAGATGGCAACAAAAGCAAGACCAGATCCACTTGATACCTGGTAATACACGGGTTAAAGATTAGTGGATTTGTGATTTGAATTAAAATTGGTAACTGATCAAGTGTGTAATATTACATTTGTTAATATTTTAACAGCTCTGTGTTCATACTACACTTTTTACAACATTCTATATAATTGTGACAAAATGTACCGGCAGTAAACTGACAAGCGCACATGTACATTCGTGGGTAATTACATAAAAAGAGTAAATGTAAAATATCTCACATCTTCGATATTTCCAATGCCTTGATTTTGTCTGTATCCAAGGATGGAGTAGATGACGAAGCCAGCGAAGATACTGGTACCACAGTTCACGAGAGAAACGATAATTGCGTCCCTGAGGGGCGATACTTGACTGTAAACTGGGTAAAATTAGTATAGTGACAGTATCGTCACTATTCTAGCAGGGTGTAACCAGTGTAATTCTGTGTAATCCAGATGTGTCGCATGGAACTAAAAAACAAATCTAAATCTGAAAACCCACCGAACTTGTCACCGCATGAATTTGATCCCCTTCAATCATACTGTACTCTTCTAATCAATTAATTATTTAATTGTTACAATCTTCTTACCTTCCGACGTTGTTCTTGTAGGGAACGTAACTGGCGAATGCAACAAGAGCTCCGAAACCCAAACTAAGCGAGAAGAATATCTGTGTAGCCGCATCCAACCATACCTGTAGTGTTACAGTGTTACAGTTAATCTACATACCTGTAGTGTTACAGTGCTACAGTTAATCTACATACCTGTAGTGTTACAGTGTTACAGTTAATCTACATACCTGTAGTGTTACAGTGTTACAGTTAATCTACATACCTGTAGTGTTACAGTGTTACAGTTAATCTACATACCTGTAGTGTTACGGTGTTACAGTTAATCTACATACCTGTAGTGTTACAGTGTTACAGTTAATCTACATACCTGTAGTGTTACAGTGTTACAGTTAATCTACATACCTGTAGTGTTACAGTGTTACAGTTATGTTAATCTACATACCTGTAGTGTTACAGTGTTACAGTTATGTTCTACATACCTGTAGTGTTACAGTGTTACAGTTAATCTACATACCTGTAGTGTTACAGTGTTACAGTTATGTTAATCTACGTACCTGTAGTGTTACAGTTATGTTAATGATTAATCTAGTAAAGTAACCAGACATACCTGTCCGTCTAGTAGTCTAGCAAAGTCAGGTTTAACGTAGACAAGGATACCGTCCACTGCACCAGGGAGGGTTACTCCACGGAAGAAGAGGATCACCAGACAGAGGTAAGGGAACGTAGCCGTGAAATAGACCGCCTGATAGAGGTTAGATTAGTAAAATATACTATATATATATATAGCAGGTGAAGCTTAGAGCCGGTAACTGCAGATTGTTTTCGAAGGAATTTTCACTCACCAGAAATTGTTCTTTCAGTACAAAGAAGGTCAATTTGTTTTGAAAGGAGTAGGCGTGGACAGAGTAACTCACTAAGTCTAACAACGTGCTGTCACTACTGAATATTCTGAAGAATTGGGAGTTCTGAAGAATTTAACAGCAAACATACCTTTCCGGAGCTCTCCACACCTTTGAACACACAGATGTAACAGATGACCCAAGAGAGCGCCAAACAACCCAACAGAGCCCAGTTGAAGTTAGAAATGTCGTTAAACCCACTCGATGCCTGTAGAACGTTGTTCCAGTAGTAGTAGTTGGCTCGGTCGTTGCTTCGTTCACAACATGTTTCGTTCAGCAGTTTTCCAGCAACATCTGCACAAACGTTAAAGGGCAGACTCCTGGAATTATTAGTGTTACAATTACGATTTCCTTTGTTGTAACGGTAAACTTTGATACATTTACTTATTGAATAGACATTAGACAAGAATTTAACTCTTACAATTACACGGTACAACCATTTATTATAATGTTAATAATTTTATTTCCGCCTAAAAGCTGTCACCAATAACAAGTTAATCAGCCTCCAACCAGCCTCCGCCCTCCACGTTATGAGGTTGCCCCAATATAAACAGTCATCTTATGGCTCGAGTTTATAGAGCATACAAGCGTTACTCTTCATTCGAGCATAATCCTCAATCGGACCAAACACAACCAGGTTTATGGTGAACTAAAAAATAACATGGTAAAAACTGGGCCTTAATTGTCAAACTCTGCGAAGTTTTACCACAAAATGTGGAGGAAGAAGCGACTTACGCGGTGAAAGAGTTGAAGAAGTAAAGGAAACATCTGGCGATGATGATGACGTAGTATAGACAGAGCAGCATGGATACACAGACGCAACCAACACCAATACCCCTTAGCATGGGGTGGATCTTACCCCAGCAGTTCACAGAACCTGGAGGAGGGCGAGTTTAGTGGTTTGTAGAGTTCAGTGTGCACTGTGCAGCTGTGCTGTTGAGTGTTTTAAAACAACTTACAATATGTAAATAACTTATGTAAAATAACTTATGTAAAATAACTTATGTAAAATAAAGCACATTCCCCGTCAGGAGACTAGTTTATAATTAGAATTTTGTTTTACTTGATTTAAAAACGTATCCGCTGAACCCGTCAGCAAGAAACAAGGAAATATGCAAAATAATGTACATGAAAATATGCAATTGACGAGCGTAGAACAGTGTTGTACGTACCAGATCTGAAGAACTGTCCGACAGCCATTTCCAGGTACATAAGGGGGACTCCTTCGAATATGAGGCAGATAAAGTAGGGGACCAGGAAGGCGCCTGAAAATAAACCACGTTTAAGCAACAGTCTCTACATCACACTGATCAGTTAAATGCTGATGTTTTTTTTGATTCATTTTAAAAGTTGCTTTGTTTAAAAGTTACCATGTTTAAAAAGCTGAGCATTTTAAAATGTAGGATAGTTTGTTATCTAATAATATTCCCAAAGGTAGAAGAAAGTGAAGAGCACGCACCTCCTCCGTGTTTGTGGCAGAGATAAGGGAACCTCCATACGTTTCCCAGACCCACAGCCAGTCCAATACACGCCAGTAGATATTCAACTTTGTTGCCCCATGCTCCTCGCTCGTCTACATCCTTGGGTTTCACTACGATCTGCGGGATGCCCTGTTTAGCCATTATATCGTCATGATGATGTTTAGCTATTATACTGTCATCTACAATTGTTGCAAATTGTATTGGCTATTGAATTGTGTGTTTGATCTACAAAGTTTGAACGTTTTGGTAACTGAGATCTTAGAAGAAGCGTGGATTTGTCTATTATCTAGATATAATAACTACTGTAGAGTGTAGTTAGTTGTACTGTAACTGTACCTTGACTTCAACTACATCAGGAGCAACAACAGACGGATCAACAGCTGATTCATTCACGTAAACTTCTTTATTAGCAGCCATCGTTGATGATACTCTTATAGTAAAATTCTTAATTGATCGAATTTTCTGTCAAAATTTGGAAAATGGCACCATAAATTAAATCTGTTCAAGCTGGCAACATATTATTAAATAAACAACTACTAAAATGTGCTTTGAAATAGGTCGATATCTTAACTTAACAACGTAGTCAGCCATATTGATTAAGATCGAAAGACTAAGGCGACTAACACGGGGAAACTGTATCTAAATTATAAAGCTCCTTAGGAAAATAAAGGATAAACTATATCTGCCGGTGCAGGTCCTAGTGGTCGCTGTGGTAGTTACGTTATCGTAAAGTTTCAGTTAATTGTCAGGACTCGGTGCAGGTCTCACACCCAGGCCTCACTAATCATAACAGATATAATATGTGGAATAATATGTTGAATTGTATCCCCGATTAGATATGAGATTTTATGTGGTAAAATGTCCAGTAAACCCAGCCATCTAGTTAAGCAACATGCACACTGGCCACTGCACAGGAAACCATATTTAAAAGATCTTCAGGGAAGTACGAGTTGGACTATCTGATCTTTTCGATTAGAAAGTAATGAAATAAACTTATCATTAGTTTTACAAAGTTGAACTAAGGATGGTTGTTTCCTCCTAGTCCTTTGTCTAAAAGTCTACTTCGAGGTGAATGTTAATAGAAAAGTGGTGCATTTAATTTCACTGGGCAGTGGGCACCATGATATTTCCCATGAGATTTGTTTCTCAGATCTTAATGCTGATGGTTTCTGTCCTAAGCAATAATAACAAAGAGAATTTAGTGTAAAAGCCAAGTATAAACAACTGAAAGATTATATCAATGATAGTATCATGTGCATATTACTGATTCAAAATAAGAGTGTAGAGTCGTAACCGTTACCTACTATATAAAAACTAAAATATAAGACATAACAAGCATCTTTAAACCGATCGCATCTAATTTGCTCGTTCATAAAATTAAAAAAATTATAATTTCAAATTTGGACACGAGTTTTGGAACACCCTGTGCATTAAACTGATAGAAGATTAACCTAAAAGACGGTCGAGGACGCCGGGAATTTTTCGTTCATTAGGGGTCTGGGGTACTATTTGTGGTGTTTGTAAACAAAATCAGTTAAACCATACATGTTGGGAACTCTATCATCGTATTACTCTCAATAATAATAACCATTGAGTAGTAATAACCTTAGTAATAACCACGGCTACTTCTCCTCTACTTCTTATTTAAGAATACAGTTTTAGGACCATTAGACCATAAGGGGATTTAAGATTGTACTCTACATGTCATACCTTAGTGGTACGTTAGTGGTACCTTAGTGCTACCTTAGTGGTAGCTTAGTGGTACCTTAGTGGTAGCTTAGTGGTAGCTTAGTAGTACCGTAGTGGTACATTAGTGGTAGCTTAGTGGTAGCTTAGTGGTAGCTTAGTAGTACCGTAGTGGTAGCTTAGTGGTACCTTAGTGGTACCTTAGTGGTACCTTAGTGGTAGCTTAGTGGTACCGTAGTGGTACCTTAGTGGTGCGGTAGTGGTAGCTTAGTGGTAGCTTAGTGGTACCGTAGTGGTACCTTAGTGGTACGTTAGTGGTACGTTAGTGGTACCTTAGTGGTACCTTAGTGGTAGCTTAGTGGTAGCTTAGTGGTACCTTAGTGGTAGCTTAGTCACGTATCACATGATGTTATAGAATAGAAGACGTTTTCTGTTTTGTCTACGACTAGGTGACTAATGACTTCTAACAGGATTGAGCAGGACTAAAAAGATTTAAAAGGTGATTTATAATTCCAACACTGAGTTGTAGTGACTAATGGTGAGGACAATGACAGGGCTGGTTCAACCCGGATAACTGAACTGTTGAGTCCCGTACTATTTGGAGTGAACTTAATTTGTGTGCTGCGGAAACTACTTGAACAACTTAAATAAGTGAAATGAGGATAAGAATTAACAATAAAAACTAAACGAGAACTTGAATAGCTTACCTCGCAGACTTCAAGATCTTTTGGTTTCTCGTCTTCATTTTCTAGTTTCTTGTGTCCTGCCATGCCTGGAATCCTGCAGGTGGTCTAGTTAAAAACTGTAAAATGTAAAATGTAAAATGTAAAATGTAAAATGTAAAATGTAAAATGTAAAATGTAAAATGTAAAATGTAAAATGTAAAATGTAAAATGTAAAATGTAAACTGTCAAATGTAAACTGTCAACTGATTTCTTTTGTTTAAACTGTCAAGTTAAGTGAGTGGCTGGACCCCACGCGCTGAAATTTCGTGTAAATATATCCGTCCGAATATGAACAATGAACATGGGTTACTGCGACTAACTTCAACTTCTACGATCTAAAACGACCGTTCTAAAACGACCGCACACGGTACAACTAAACTTGACCCTCAGTTCTTTTTGTCGGTAAAAAGCTGAAAATTGGTACAAATAACAACTCAAAATTAAGATTTTTGCAACTAACTACAACTGACTGATGATCGGAGATAAGGAGGAATGTATTCGCGAACAGTATATTCCTAGAAATAGATATTTCATTCGGAGAATATAGATTAGCAAATTAAGATTATAGAATTTGTCAATGTTTCGTTACAAAGTCTCGGAAACCAATGAGGTGCAGTCTCAAGCCGCCCAAGTCATTAGTCATCCTTAGTGGAGTCTAATTCACCCGTTGTACAAGCCAAATCTATATATTTTGTTTGTTTCTGAGAATACGGGATTGTGCAAGTTTTTTTACAAACATTTTCAATTGCCCAAATTGCAGGTTCAACTTGGTTCTGCCTCAGTACTCACGAGTGTTGTGTTACCACTGTGATTTACGATTCCCTCTTAAGACAGAGCTCCACATTAAGGTAGTTTAGAATGGTGTTCAAGAGATGATATCCCTGGACCCATTGTAGAGACTGTTGACTACATATTGAAATAACAAACCCTTTATGCCAAAACAATCGTCAGTGTTTAAGAACTGCTAAAACTACTACAATGACATCCTGGTGGATAATATTCCATGTAGAATGTAGACTGTTCAGTGTTCATATCACAATTCTTGCAGCAGTGATCCTGCCTTTGTTAAAAGCGGCTATCTCTTCCTGTTCTACACTAATCTATGACGCAGGTCCGTTCTTTTGTTCTGACGGCTGTGTAGCCACCATGCCCTCAAGGCTCAATTACCGTTAACAGAGCGGACCAGAATTAATTACACGCGAGAAGGCAGCTGCGTAGCTTGATGGGGTTGAGTGTATGTTCCTTCGCAGCTTCGCCTCATGACCCGCATTCCACGATAAACAAGAAAAATTAGGTGGATTTTCATTTTCGGATATTCCAATACTCCAATATATTTGTAAGATAACGTTATTTTAATATTGACACGAAAAAAAGCACGAAAGACCAATGTAGCAAAAACAAAACACTGTTTTTGTGATAGTCGGTATACGTTGCTAAACCAACTGTCGAACCAGCTAACTTTCTTATTGCGCTACAACAACAAAACCAGTGATATATCTATTATCTACTGGTAGTGGTAGGTACAGGATATGCGACAGCCCAACGTGTTGAAAATTATTATTATGGACTAATGAATAATGACGAGCTGAATAATAAGTACGGGTAGGATGAGGGTGTGTAGAACTGTTGCCAAGAAGCAATCACTGAAAATACAAACACGATAATGTTCCATATAATCGATATCAAGTTTCTCACGGTCAATTGCAGCGCTGCACTGACGCAATTATTCCGTTTCTGGGGCTAATTTTTCTATCAAAGGTGTGGATTAGATTAGCGGGTATATGAATATAATTGAGCTGTTATGAAAACCAATAAAAAACATTCAAAAAATTAGATAGTGATTCAAGCACCTGGCACCAAGGGACAAACTTTCAGGAAATTCCCGTTCAAAATGAAAAACTAATTAAATATTGAGGGTGATACATTGTTTAGATTCCAGGGAACAAGACATTTCACATCTTTTTTGGCTTTAAACCAACACGGTTAACGTTCGATCAGTCTAATTCTAGTAACTGTACGAACGTGCAACCAGACTAAAATCTGAAACAAGTCCAAAAATAGTTACAATAAGATTGTACCCGAATAAGATTTCAAAGTCATAATGAACGAATCTTCAGTCGTTACGTGACGAACGTGACCCCAGATTTAGCTAAAACTAAAAATAGTTACAATTTTGAAAGCGAAGAATTCCAACCGAAATTCTGTCGGTACGTGGTACCCAAATTAGATTTGAACGTCTTAATGAACGGATCTTCAGTCTTTACATGGACCAGAAAGAAACAAAGCAAACAGCTCCATAAACGACAGATAGCAGAATTACTCTTACTAACTTAGAGTTCAGGGCCAATATAAAGGTAGCGATACAAAGGGAGGAGCAACTAAGCTGATTAATATACATGACATTGGGATACACGCGAATGTAATGCTTAGAGGATAAAACCAGTGACATGTGCGTGTGAATGGTGAGAGGAAGCCGTGCCGTGAGGTGAGATACTCTCTTGTACAAACAAGAGGATTACATACAATGTGGTTAGGTGTGACGTCATCTGACATTTGTCACGTGACGTCATCTGTCACGTGACGTCATCTGTCAGCTATTACTCTTCCTCTCATCACGACTTCAGAGTTCAGATAGCAGATTAGCTGGCTGAACACGGTAGACCTAGACCTTGACATGAAACACTAGGTGAGTACACAAGTGGTCGGATTAAAATCTCCTGATTGGGGGATAGATAGTGTTGGGAGCTCCTGATTGGACAGTGAGACGCCTGACAGTGCATGTTACACGTGGTGACTAGATTGTTGTGTTTGACAGAAGATGTCAGCACGTGTCTGTAGTAGTAAGTGAGTGTGTTTCCGTAGTAACAGGACGGAAACAGACTCAATGGAACTGGTCCGTCACTAGTAACTCAGAAGGGAAAGCAGGCGTGGCTCAACAGTTTTGAAAACACTAGCGGGATATTGAAGCATCTACTCCGAAAGGGATTAAACAACTGACTATCTTCTGTATCGTGAAACCAACCAATGTATTGTGAGGTTGGGTTTCAAATCAAGTGATTTGTGAGTTTCAGATCTCACAAGGCCTCTAAATATATCTCACGTGCTAGCTTAATTGGCACTGATTAGAGGTCTTCATTCAATTAGCGAGCAATCAGAATATGGTTTCACCCTTGAGGTTCCTGGGAATTGGCGTTGCTTTTATAATAGCCCCTCAAAGGTAAATGGATTATTGAAACGAACGGCAACAATAAAGCGTTGTTTAGCCTCGTTGATGATAAACTTGGTGAATATTCTTGCTGCAGGACTAGTTGAAAAGGGAATCTGGGAGGTCCCAACCAACCACCAGTTGATTTGAACCCGAGATTCAGATTTAGGTGGCAAACAAATAATAAAGCGAGCCGGTGCACGACAAGGTTGTCAACGTTCAAATTATCAACGAGTCTCTAAAAAAGTTTACTTCAAGGACAACTCAATACTCTCAGACATGTGTTATACGAAAATATGTGTAATACTACAAATTGTAGGAGAGGTCAGCCGCAAACAGACATTCTAGAACTTTAAATAACGGAAAACAAAAACAAATAGCACATACAGCATCACATACTCCCTAGTAACGCGTTACACGCACTGTTAGTGTTACGTCATGCTGTCTGACCAACGTTAAGTCACCAGAGTAACGCGTTACCCTGGTGACGTAACGCCGGAGCAGACCAACTCGGGCCACACGTGGACTGGCGCGCGAAACAATTCGACAATCGACCCTCTTCATTGCTTTTCCGTTCTTATATTGTTTGTTTAAGCATTAAACGGCAGTTTTGTGTGATTTTGCACACTGCACTCCTGGCAGCTCTAACTTTTAATTTGATCCAACAACCGTTAAAAAGCGTGAAAAGATAAATATAAGGTTCAATCAACTAATGAAATTTAGCGCCATAAAAGCTTCAGTGCTCCAATGATTTCGCATGTAACCTTTCAGAACCTTTTAAAACCTTTTATCTTGCATGGCGACAGAGCTGTTGAATTTTTGGAGGTAATAATGTTTGGAGGTCTGAGAACAGTATTGAACTCTATGATAATGATATGACTCAGTAGAATGAAGCTGAACCAAAAATTTCTAAGTGTGAATTTTTGGCATTCCAGAATCCAGAATCCTTATTATTCTGGATTCTGTAGATATTATCTGGATTTACTGAAACTGAAAGAGATGCGAGGTAAGTGATAAGATCAGAAATATCTAGCTCTGTAGTGAACATTAATGAAGCAACCATTTTCTCGTTTAATCTTACATTTCCCGAAGAAAGTTTCAGAAATGACCTTAGCAATTTATTTTCTTGATGAACTTTTCAGAAATTACCAAAATTCATAAAGATTAAGTATTTTATAAATATAGCAAATACTATTATACGGTTGAATATTAAATTATAGATAGTAAACATAATATTGGGACAGGCTAGGATCTGGTGGACGGTCTGGTGGACGGTCTGGTGGACGGTCTGGTGGACGGTCTGGTGGACGGTCTGGTGGACATGTTGACCATGATCACAGCCTGAAGAACAGGTAGACGCGTGATCTGTCACGCTTGAGGTGTGGACCCAGCTATCAACAAACATTTTCCTAACAACTGTGGACGGACAGAGCTAAGCTGTTCATGGACTGTTTAATGCGTAAACCGCTTATATTTTTGCTAAACATCATTACTATCAGTGAATTAATTTTTGCCGTCAATGATGAAATTATCTGATTAGCCAAATCAGCCAAATCATCGAAATAATTAAGAATTAACAAACTGTAACGTTACTTCTGATAAAAATATGGGCCGATAATAAAATAATTATAGACTTTTAACTTTATTAGACCCCGGCGCCCAAGATGCATGGAAAAAATCCCGCTAAAAATAGTTGAAAATCTCCCAATCAGCGAGAAAGATCGTCTCATATCGTCCGGCGTGAAAATCTAGCATATAAACACGTAGAATGATGACCTAACTCAATAGTTCGTGTGATGCTAGATACGTCAGACTGCAGCAGCAGTGGACGCTAGACTGGACCACCATTAGCCAGTATGAGTACCCACTATAACTTTAGTGTAACTAACTAGTAACCTTATCTAATTCAAAGAAACAAGCCTTAAACGCCACCGGGTCATCATTAGAATAAATTTTTCCAATTCAAGGGGAAATAATTGGTCTAAACCCTGATTTTCAGAGAAATAAACAGAACATATTAAGATATATATTGAATATGTTGAAGCTGTATACGTGGCAATTACATGCATAATATTATCGTCGTAGTTGTTATGTATGTGAGGTGGACTACTATATGACACGGTAAGGTCCCTTATTCCGTTTTCGTTGTAGTACCGCTGCCGTCAAAATAAGATTAACAACTCGGCCACCTGTACAGATCAAATAATTAACGGAATACTTTTAAAAAAGGCGTTGGAACGAACACGGCAGAGTATATAAAAAACAAAAATAACGTAGTTAGGTTGAGATGATCATTTCGCCGCAGGTCAGGCGGGATTGTTATAAACTACGTCAGCAAAGCCTTGTCGGATTAGATCATCACCATTGAGCTGCTGCAGATGCGCAGTAACATTTTAGTGCTAAACAGAGTAAGTTGCTAACGTAAGATAAAATAGCGGCACCAACTCAACTATTGAGACATGCCGATAGGGTAAAGATATGCCAGGTCAGTAAATAACGCCTATACAAGGATTTCAGCACGCTAAAGCAGGGTCGGTGGTATCACACTGCAGCCAAACCAGTTGACCAGTTGACAGCCGGTAACCATGGCACGTTGGTCTGGTAACCATCGTGACCGGTCTCCCGATCTGCAGAACTCTGAGGAATTGAGGAATGTGAGACCTGTAAACGGGCAGATTTATTAAAATTTAGTAAGGCCCGGTTGATCCTTAATTGCGTGGCTCAAAAAGTATCCGCGGCTGCACTTGACGAAATAAAATAAAAATCACAGTTGGTTCTGAGGAAAGCAGAAAGTTAAGATAGACATATAATTCGCACTTAGCGGGCATCTCTACACTATAACACATATCCTCTCACACGTGCCGATAGGAGAGAGAGAGCTGTGCAGCCCTGCAAAACACAAACACTTTGCAATATCTCCCACCCCCTGAAAACTATTATTACGTAATCAACAAGTAAAGAAGTAAAACCAAACTTTGCTTTTATAACGAATAATCGCGCAAACAGGGCTATCAGATACCAGATAACTCTACGTGTTTCTCCGTAACATTATTACAAACAGGGCTATCAGATACCAGATAACTCTACGTGTTTCTCCGTAACATTATTACAACTAGAAAGGTACGAAACACTACCGGATAATCTGCCGCGGTAGCGACTATTTACCGATAAGACCAGCTTGTGCTGGTGACAGTATCGGATGATGGCACTAACCAGGAGTTGAGGAGAATTTGGCGAGAGCGTGTGCCTGCCGCTAAGAGCTGACCCAATTAAGCACACTTAGGGGTAAGATTCTCGGCTACCCCGCGAGCTGCTATGTTTGGTGTCTACTACCTATTATCACACGATGTTGTGAGCGCTTCTGTGTCAAATTAAACAGCAAAATTAAAATAGACGGGAGACTGCAGGTTAAGGATCATTTGCTCGTTTATAAGGACGGGCTTCATTTATTGACGTCACGGAAGATTAATAATTTCAGTCGCGCGATTTTACTTTCCCTCCTCTGGTGAATTTATTACTGACGTCAATTAAAACAGTAACTGCGTCTTGTTGGCCAAGAAATGAAATAGCATGACAGAGAGCCAACATTATGATTAGACGATCAGGCGCCTTCTTGGGACTACTTTTTCGGAGAAAAGCAACCCCACCACCCACACAGCGGGGTCTGCGGTTAAATAATCTGTTTACGGCAGACAGCTTATTAAAGTACTATACTGTAGTATGCGGCCTAGAGGTCACTTATTGTGCTCGAAATTATTCACGAATGAATAATTCCTTCCATAATATGTAGAAATTATTCATTGTCGTTACGTAAAGCTGATTAAGCTCTATCTACTATTGCACTTGTAGTTGTTCTACGGAAAAGAATTTTTGATGTCCCAGAAGATGTCTGGTCCAGAAAACAGTACTGAATTGATTAACACAGTATAAGCAATAAAAGCATAATAGCATAATACAATTAATATGATAAGAGGATATAATATTATGTTGTTTTAGGCCACAATAATAATCATATTATTCGGTTCACTGATAATAAGGATACAAAAAGAATATTTTGTTCTGAATAATACTAAGGATAAGGACTCTATGGTGCGGAAGACGTTACGGTTGTGATTATAAGAATCTGATGAGCGGAGGTGACTGGTGTATGTGACTTTACAAGACTTTACAAATGCCTACCAAAGATACGGGGAATCTAACACAGAAATTCCGCGATTCCCGGTACCTTTTACTTTCCAATCATGAAAATTCTTGTAACTGATCAATGCAGGTCTTTATTCTATTCTTATTTCTTGTTATTTTTATTAAATATATAACTAAAAAGTAGAATACCGAGAAACACTATGTTTACTAAGTATAGTCAGATAAACCCCAAGAGAGGTATAATGATTTATAATGAGGCGCCTCTTTAAAAAACTTGATTTTGCTTGGAGAAGTTATCTTTTGACTCTTAAAGATGCGAACAAAATGAACTTTAAAAAACACAACTAATTAAACTAAATTAAACTAAATACTGCAGACCAATTTTATACCTGACCAACTGAATTCAAAACGGTTATTCCAGACGAAAACATGATTAGTAATCGTGTTTTCGTCTGGAATAACCGTTTAGAATAATCATTGATTACATAATATTTGCATAATGATGACATAATAGTTTGATTTGATTTGGAGCACGACTGGTCCGGAGATTGAAGATTGACTATTCCCTTAGTGTTTGTAACCAAGTACAGCCCAACGGCCAACACTATCTCGTGTTTCCGTGAGACAAGAAGAGTGACTATGCAATGAATGGAACTGTTCCAAATCTGAAATGAGTTGATAACATTAAAGTTGAAACTGTTGCGGCTTTTTGAAGGATCAAAGTACATACAAGACATAGTTCATGATCTCCTGATTGCATTTTACAAGAAATAATTCGTTTCCACAACGTTTATTAGTCAAAGAATGGAATTCCTGAAATCCAAACCATAAATGCTAAGTTATTGTATAAAAAAGGGAGGAGCATAATATCTGGTAATTAGTTGGTCTGGAGTTAAAATCCTCCGCCTCTAAATACTACAGGTCTATGGAAAATGGAAACTCTACAACGGGAACTTAATGCTTCAAACTCCGTGCCGATGAATAGATTGTAAGGAATTCACACTGCAGTAAAAGGTCCGCTGCAGACTACTGGTAAACACGATGTAGAGTGCGAAATACCAACCATTTTAAAACATGAGAGCTCCGTACAACAAAATATACCAGTACTCTTGAAGTAGACAAAAGTTGGCAGAGTCCCAAAAATAGTAGAACGGTAGTTTTCACACTATACTAAAGAACGTATTGGAAGATAGTACAGTAGTGAACCTCAGGACTGAATTTCTGTTGCTCGCAATCTAGTATCGCCAAATATGTCTATGAATGACTACATACTACATAGTGTCAACCTAGTAAAAATAAGAACTTTATTTATCAAACATAAGACTTTTTTTAGATTATGTTATACATATATGATATAGTATAGTTTTGTATTAGATTCAATCGCAATTTCCTCCGTCCAAACCCCTTGCTCTATGCAGGGCCGGTAAAACACACCGCCAACTCCCATTCAACCCCACCCAACCCCACCCAACCCCGCCTATACTAACCCCGTTAAACTGAATGAGAAAATATATAACTGAAGCCGCGCGTTTTGCAGACCAGATCTGATACAAAAGCTAACACCAAAACAGTCTTTGAGCCAAAGCATTGTAAATACTGACTGTATATAATATCTTGTAAATGCACTTCAAGATGGTATAAGCACTCCAACATATAATTACACTGGTATAATTAGACAGCCAATTAAAACTAGGCGGCTGTGCGTGTCAGGATACAATCTATATTATTACATTACTTCTCCAGAATTATACAGGACTGACACAATTGCGGCAGAACGCGCACGAAACATAAAATGCTGCCGAGTAACCTTATAAAGTTTCAAGGCCATCACAGCGGCATATGGTCTGCAATAAAGATCTGTAAGCCCTGGAATGTTATGCAAAATACATCCGGAAGGCTGACACTTGACAGGAAAATAATTCTGCTGCATGAGAAAAGCTAGAGGTGACGTCATTAAGAGTTGACCAGGAGGAGTTAGTCAGGAGGGTGGAGCTCCCTTACTCTACAGTGGCGTAAAAGCTCCTGCTCCCCTCCGCTTCATAAACATTCGAATACAAATATTTCCCTGCCTGATAAATATGATTGATGTGATTATTTAGGTCTTCTAGAAAACGGAGATGATGTGTCTGTTAAGGGTGCTGGGTTTGGACAAGAACGGGCTCACGATCAATAAAATAAAGAGTATGGGTACTGATTGTAAGGGACGAAGGTTATCTTACATAAGCTGTATAGTAGTAATACTACAAAGGATGGTACTGTGAACGTAGATAGAGCAGACTAATCCCCTAGGAGAGAGATCTGGGTACGTTATAGAGATCTGACTCCATTTCTGGGTACGTTATAGAGATCTGACTCCATTTCTGGGTACGTTATAGAGATTTGACTCCCATTCTGGGTACGTATAGATATCTGAATTCTGACTCCATTTCTGGGTACGTTATAGAGATCTGACTCCCTTTCTGGGTACGTTATAGATATCTGACTCCATTTCTGGCTACGTTATAGAGATCTGGCTACATTACTTGTATGTATGTGCTCAACAATACAGTCAACATACAAAGAACCACAAAACTGCACAGTACCGCGAAAATGGAGAGTAACCAATGTACCTAGTTAAATACGTAATGATGTTAAATACGTAAAAGTATTGGAAGCTGATTTCTGTTGTATTTTCTAAAGGTATCGTAGCAATGGAAACGGCGATATTCATTGACGAAATACAAACGCACTTAGCACCAGATTTAACGCTGTCAAAATTTTAATCGGTTTATCAAAAGTTTAAAGTATTTTAAGTACTTTTCATATTGAACATAATCGATAACAATACGGAATAGGTTACGTTTAAAAGTAACTTTTTTATTATACCACATGTATTGTATGGTCTCTGCTTCTTTTTAGTTTAGCGTGGTTTAAAATAAAAGATGTTTTAATTTTGTCTGAGCCTTATATTGAGTTATACTCTTGTTCATTTTTACACATTCGCTTACATCACTCACAGTCAGCCGCTCTGACATGGTTAACCACCTTCCTTGTGTAATGTGTTGTTGGTTAATCATATGAACGGGATATAAATACCTCATTTCATTTCATTTCATTTCATTACAGCCCTGAGAAAAACAACAAACTCTTATATTACATATTATATTATATATATATATTAGGGTTTAGCTCAGTGCAAAGGAACGAATTACGCACGTTACACAGTAATCGGAAACACAGCAAGTGCAGAACGGGCGTATAAACTGTATAAAGAACGTCAATCAAGGGGTGTTAAAACTCGAAGCTAAAAGCCAAATAAGCCGGATACGCCCAAAACATGCCATCCGTATGTGACGGCAGCTTTTGTCAGCGTGTATAATAATAATGCCATGGACTCAACAGCCAAGTCCAACAGGGGAGCCAAACAAACCACTTAGCTGGATAATTATACCTAACAAGTAGACCCGGGCTGGTGATCCTGAGTCAGCCATCTTTAGAGATCAGCTAGATGACGCAAACTAAAGTAATAATGGAGTAGTATAATAGATGCTGCATAGTCGTAATGAGTGCAGAGAGCAAGCTTGGCAGACTGCCAGAGATAGTCCGCGCCCTACTGCTACAGTGTGTTACACTATACAGATGTAATGACGTAGGTCTAGGTAGGAATCATGCCAAATACGTGCAGATAACTCCTCGATTAGATATCTGGTTGTTGGTAGCTCTCCAACAGAGAGAGAGAGAGAGAGGTAGTTAGAGCGAGCTACCAATCTCTTTATCGTAGTCACGAGGATATAACCCCTCACACAACCCACCATACGCTTACAAGGAGAGCTGTACACGCAGGAGAAACAGAAACTGTATTACTGGTCCCGTATTTGGCGGCAGATCCTCAGTCCTGGTCCTGCCCAAGCCAATGACAGTAATTGTTGGCGGCTTACGCTTTTGGCACTCTCTGAACCCCTGATATTACGTCAATTGTTACTCTGTGCTCTGAGATGGAGCCCTTTGATACTTTGAGCTCAGTACTCTGGCAGTGTGACAAAGTATTCTGGCGCCTGGCGGTGCGTGACAAAGAGCCTTGCAAGTGGTAGTTGGTTCTGGTTTTGGTTTAGAGAGCAAAATTACCACATAGGTCCAGGATCGAGATCAGAATATACAGAGTAAATTACCACCACTGTATTA